AAAAAAAAAAAAAAAAAAAGAGAGTCCGCGTCTAAAATCTCGTTAACGGCTTGTTTAACAGCTCGTGCAGGGCCCAAAGTTTGAATTTCCACACTTAGCCTTGTATACACACACATCAAAAGCAAATATATATAGTACATGTATACGCGTGGACACGAGCGCGTGTTTATTTCCCCATCTCCTCGGCAAGAGCGGCGTTAAAATCAATCGCTTCCACTTTGCGAATTAAGATATCCTAATGATAGCATCCCCAGCGAGCTGGAGTTGTGGAGGGGTTGGGGGGCACCCTATCGCTCCCCGGCATCGCGATGGCTAATTACGCCCGTGGTATAAATATCTCGCTCTCGCGGATGGAGATATAAATATCAGCGGGGTCTCGAATTTCCAGCCCCAGAGAGAGAGAGAGGATGAGTAAAATTCTATTACCCCCCCACCCCCCAACCCAATACACACATAAAATGCGCACTCTCTTTCGGTAATTCAATTCGCACTCCTCCATCATCTTCCAATCGGCCCGAAATATCTCTCGCGCTCGCCGAGTTGCTTTCTAATTAACCGTGTACGCTCTTTCCCTTCAAACGCACACACATACGCAGCCTCGTTTTATTTTCATCCTCGTATACATACGAGAGAGAGCGAGCCCTTTCCATCAGCGTGTGTGCACTTAATCCCAAAGCCCTTGCACATATATATTTTATGGGGATTAAATCGCTGCGTGTATATATATATATATATGTATATATACACAGTTGTGTATTTATGAAGCCCGGCACGCACGCGGGTTAAGAAAATTACGGACAACACGAGCTGTCTTTGGTTGTAGCTGGGCCGTTTGTGTCTTTTGTTTTTGCGCGAGGTTTGCCTTCGAGGTCAGGAAGATGCGCCGTGATTGAGATGTAACTGCTTGGGCTGAACGGGTGTGTGTCGCGTGGGCGTGATTTTTGGCGATCGGACCAGACTTGCCTTCGCTTTTTCGATTGTTTTGCGCGTGGTGAGATCGGGATACATGAGATACATAAGAAAGAAATAAAGACAGACTCTTTTCTTTTTTTTTTAATTATTTTTCAGGTCTTTCGCCTTTCAGTTTTGTATACATAAATATATTAGGATATGTGTCCTACGTTTTCGTGTGCGTAAAATATATCCTCATGTTTTGGATTTTTTTTCTTCCCTTTTTCATCAAATTATCAACTCTTTAATTTATTATACCTATGTGTTATTCCTGATGTGTTTGTATCTATTTTCCGATTTAGTACACGTGTCAGGACTTTTTAGTTTCCGAGTCACTGCTTTATTAACTATTTCTATTTATGTTCAACCTAATGTTAATCAATCTTAATTACCAATAATATAACCCCTTTTTCCATTCACTACGTACAGCGTGATATCAAATTTTAAGCATTTTTTTCAATCAATCAATTTATTTTGCTTTGAAATGGTAAAAATTCTTTATTCGGTATGTATGAATATCCCATCAGACGATTATTCAATTGAGAGCACCTCCAAACGAAATCGTTATCGAAACAATGTTTCTTCAACGAGGCAACATGGCCCAACACAAATTTCATAACAAGTACACATCTGACTGCATCACCTTTCGATTCGTTTCGGCTGCACTGCGACCGTGTACCTATACATGCTTCGACGTTAAGTAGTTCGCCGTGTTTCAAACCACTTTACAACCAAAGCGAAAACACAGTACCTACGTGGGCGCACGTATCGCACGTACAAGCATATACACCCGCTCTCTCTCTCTCTCTCTCTGGCTGCACTATATGATACGTTCGTAACAAACATCCGTTTAATTAGCCATCCAACTCCCGGCGAGCGCGCCTAGGAGATCGCAAGGGGTAACAAAAAAAAAGGAGAATCAAATTTATATACTCCGTTGTTGCTCGTTACACATCCACACACATAAATACAATCGGCCGAGATAAAACGCGCGTGTACACGCTCCCGCGATGACTTTCTGGAAAATGCGCTTCTCAGAGATCGGCATCGCACCGATGTCGCTTACGCAACGACGCCTACGATGTTGGCTCGGTAGTTGTTTGCTCGCGGGGGGGAGGGGGGGAAGTCGGAGTACACAGCTCTAGCTCGAAGGAACACGACTGGGCTGCACACATTTTTATGTTAAAACTCAAATGTGTATTGTACAGTGCCGATCTTTTTCTACCATCTTTGACTCGATTCTCTTGGAAATCGTTACGATGTGCTCGGCACATTTTGTCAAAATCGAGCTGATTTAATATTCCCGGTGGATAAAGGTTTTCGTGAAAGTGTATCACGTGTTACGCAAACGCGGCCTCTGCACCAAAAGTGCATACATGTACCGCGACGAGCAAACGATTATTTACGATCGGGAGAGGGAGTCGCGCCAAAAAGAAAAAAAAAAAAAAAAAAAAAAAAGACCCTCNACACGACACATCAAACTTGGTGATTTCATCGAAACGCACTTGAATTTTTCCTCAACGGAATGAGCAAGCGTTCCACTTACATACGTAAGGATGTACATGGTATCAGGACCCAATTTTTATTTTTTCCATGCACCTGTTCAGTAAATAAAAAAAAAAAACAAAAAAAAAAACAAAAAAAAAAAAAAAAAAAAAAAAAAAACAGGACAACAAAGAGCCTTCGCTCTCCTCTACTTTTTTTGTTCTTAACCCCTTTTGGCATTGGATAACTCATCATCTTTGCCACACTTTCGCGTACAAGAAGCAACGCAAAATCCCGTTGACGCGAACTTCAATTAAAGCGCGACCGCGCGAGTACAAGGCTCCGTACGTGAAAATTACAAAAAATATCGTAAATCTCGATCTGGGCCGCAACACCTTTGGCCCTTGCGCCGAAGAAAAAAAAAAAAGAGAGAGTCTCGCCGGTGTGCGTTGGGGGATAAGAATCGCTCGCTCTCCTTTAATTCGGGCTTAACGGTGAAATTATCGACTCGTATAAGCGCGCGCGCGCCCACGCTTATTTTTACATCGCTAAAAAATACCACGCCGGCTGATCACTGTACGGAGAAACGAGGTGAAGGTGCGATCGGAGTTTTTTTCATTGTTCCCTTTGGATCCAAGATGTGATTCAATTGATTCGCTAAACTCTCGGATAAAGAGGAAGAAGCGGAAAAATGTTCCATCGAGGCATACGTGCAAAGAGAGAGGTATCCCGAGGAATCTCAAAAGTATCCCGGCACAAAAATAAGAGGGACGATGGGAGATATCACCGAAGCCGGGGCGAGTCGATGGGCCTTTCTTTTTTTTTTCCCCCCTCCCCCATCGCTCCCGCACACATGTATATATACCGTAGCACGCCTTCATTGTCTCTCCGGCGAGTGCGCGCAGATGTCTATACGCCCCCATCAACTTCGCAATGTCCGGCACACCTTGTGCATGCCCCGCGCCACGCTGCCTTTATAACGCCACACCGCAGGCGCATATATACATGTACACACAGTCAAAGTTAACCCGGATATTTTAGCGTCGCTCTCCTCCGAGCGTTTGTTTCCCTTTGTCTATAAGGTGGGATAAAAATATCATGTACGACGGCCGTGCGGGGGAGTATAGGTGTACGAGGGCACCGAGGGTCCGTTTGGATTCGCCTCCTCCTTCACGCTTGCAATATGGGTATTATTATATAGTTGCCGTTGTTGTACATGGGCTTGTGCAATGAATCCTCGGTGTGTTTCTCATTGTGAGCCAGCCGTGAAATTTTACGTGGTGTGCTTTTTGGTTTATCGTTGGGAAACGTTTAGCGATTACTTCACGGGGATACATACAGAGGTTTTTTCAATCGTTCCTGTCAACGAGTGTTGTCTTGTTGATGCGCTCGAGGTTCTCCTTCACGATGATCATGTACGCGCGGTACGTTAAACAGGAGAATAATTGCGAATAAAGTGCTTTATTCGTTAGCAACTCCAAAGATGATGACTATCATCATTTAGAAGTTTTTACCAACAATGTGGAAATTTACTGTAAAATTTTTTAGTTGACTCATCCTTGATCCAAAAAAAAAACAGACGTATAATACGATAGGTCGTACATTATACTCAAAGGTAATAAAATATAAACGTCATTTGAGTTTTTTGATTTAGTATCGGTCGACCATCAACTGGTAAAAAAGTGTACGTATATATAATTGAGGTGAATACATTTTTTTCTGCGCATGGACTTTCATGATTCGATGGAAATATGTTTTTGGAAGAAAACAAAAAAATATTAAATTTCAATAATAAAGGCGCGAGTGTACTTTTCTTACGTTTTATATACCGATGAGAGTAAACTAAAAAACAATGAAAACTGTAAGACACGTATTAGACACTGAACAAATGGCATTGATTTCAGTAATGATAATTTTCAGCAACAAAGTTCCCAATCGTGGGGTTATTGATAGCCGGAATCAAGCGAGTACACACACAGTCATCGTCCTCTCGGTAATTAAATGTACCATCGAAAATCGTCATGCCTGATACTCTCGTGCACTCCTACGCTCACCCATTGGATGTATACATGTACCGCGCATAAAACTCGTGAGCGCATCAATTTTCCCTTTCTCTCTTCCAATGCGGTGAATAATAATTACCAATCAGTCACTCAGCCGTCGATCAGCGGCGGTGTAATGGAACACCTGTCAAGCTGCCTCTTTTGCTACCATGCCCATTTTTGTGATTCATGCCGCGCGTTTTATCAAACGATACGTGCGCAGCGAGAAAGGATTTGAAACGTATTTTGCAATGTGATCATTAATTGGACATTTATTGCATTTTTTTTTTTTTTTTTTTTTTTTTTTTTNCCCTTTGATAAACCACCCATACCTCGCGTGTTTTCCCAAGCCCGGCACGAATAAGCGTCGTCCTCTGCTAAATTCACGCCGCGCCTCGATAGAACAGCGAACAATGATACACCCGCGCCGAGGCGGCGAGCGCATAGGGATACTATTTTTCTCTCCCCCCCCCCCCCATCGGTCGACGGGCGGCGACATTTTTTTTTTTTTTTTTTTTTTTTTTTTTTTTTTTTTTTTTTTTTTTGATGGTGTTCCATTGGAGCGTGATCGACAAGTATACATAATACGTTTTTTACGAAATATTTATAAACTATTCGTGATTTATATCACGGTAATATATTACAATCAATGGATGGCAGTTTATATTACAATGTCTCGGATCAACGCACAAACAAATAAAACCTAGTGCGTTGAATTATTAAGTTATTCTACGTATACCACATTAAACGTAACATCGATCGATTCTTGCAACAACTTTGTTTGTGAATATATATATTCATCTATTTTTTTCTACAACACTACATTCTCAAGTTCACAAAAAAAAGCGCGCACTCGATCGGTTCTTCCGTCGATGAACCATATTCGAATGCTCACACACTGTAAATCCAAGTGTGTATAGAAATGATGCACACACGTGACATCTCTTCACACATTTAACACACTCAACAAAATTTTTCCTCCCAAGGATCTACTGAAAAAAAAAAAAAAAAAAAAACGAGCTTCAGTGATCAGAGTCCCTTCTTCACGCACGACACCCCGTCGGCAGTAAGGACCTCGCTGAAGCTGCACTTGCACACGCGCCGGAGCCCCGTGCCGTTCTCCGTCGGCACGGCGAAGCAGTACTTGTCGCAGCCGCCCCGCTCGTCGTCCCTGCACGGGTGGTCGTTCCTGGTTTTTTGCGCCACCTGGGTGTAAGCGAGGATCTCGGTGATGGGCGCCGCCTCGTTGTCGTTCACCAGCTCGAAGCTCGGGTCCTTGGCCCCCGTGGCCTTTTTCACGCGCCTGATCGCGTTAGCGTCGATGGCCCTGTAGTACACGTGGTCCTCGTCGACGGCCAAGGCGCGCGCCGCTGGATCCAACTGGCCCGGGTAGATCTTGATCGCCCCGATGCTCCGCACCTCCGAGCCGTCGAGGCCCGAGTGCTGGATCTTCTCGAGGCCGGGCACGCACCAGTAGAGCCGGTCCGCGTACACGTCGACCAGGAGACTGGCTATGTAGTAGCGCGACTCGGAGCTCGCGCGGTTCAACTCCCGGATGTTGGTGCCGTCGAGGTGGGCTCGGTATATCCTGCTGCGCGCGCCGTACCAAAAGCTCGTCTCCGCGAAGAATAGGTAACCCCGGTTCGGGTGGACGGCGTGGCTGGTCAGCCGGGAGCGCTCGGTGAGGATGACCGCGGGGTACCAGGGCCTCCCGGCGTTCACCGCCACCATGAGGTTGCGCGAGCTGCCCATTATAACGTACAGGTTCTTGGAGATCCAGTCGAAAGCCACGTCCCGGAAGTCGTCGTCCTGCTCGAGGACGCGCTCCCAGTGGCTGTCGTTGAGCTCGACGCGGTAGAAGCGCGAGTGGTCGACGTTGGCCACCTTCGCCCAGTAGATGATGGTCTTGGCCCCGTGGTCGAGGCTAAGGCCCCCGAGCACCGTCTCGGGCCTTATGTCGTCCGCGTACTTGTGGTCCGAGTGGTAGTTCAGCGTCGAGTTGTCCTCGTGCGAGTTGATCCGGCACAGTCCCGGCTGGTTTTTCGTTATCACAAGGAAGTTCGGCTTGTCCTCAACGTGTTTCTTGTCTGCGGGGATTTAACGTTTTTCACCATTAATTTTCCGATGCAAGCGCGTTTAATTTTTTATGCGCAATTTTTCTTTTTCTTTTTTTTTTTTCTTTTTATACTGAAATTTAATAGTACTACAACAATTCCAACACTGTGACGTAGCTAGCATGGTATAAGTGTTAGAGACGCATATCAAAATTTGGGTATCACCTTCGTATTCAAGGTTCAAACCCCAGTTTTTATCTCAAAGAAAGGATATTGTTTTAACAGTAATGATTCAAATGCTGACTTAAACGCAAATAGATACAAGTATCTCAGCGGAAGCGGCGCTGGTGCAGTACATTTTTTTTGTTTTCATTATACGTAACCCACGAAAAACCTTAAAAACAAAAACAAATAATATAAACCTTCGGTTAGACAATGATGCAATTATCGTTAAAAAACTCGAACAGTATTGAACAGTATTTTCGAAAATACCATCATTAATATATTACCAAAAAATTTTTGAGTGCTTATGAGATACTATTGCTTCTCATGATATATTTGCAGAAAAGAAAAATTAAAAAAAAAAAAAAAAATTCCCAGTCGCAAGAATGAAAATTTTTAACATCTCAAATCAAAGTAATATTGTTGGAAATTTTTGCTGAAAAAAAATTTTCTGTGCCTACGTTATTCCTGTACATTAAATAGGTATACCAAATCGAATCGAAATATGAAAAAAAAAATTAAATTGTTATTCAGAGAAGTGAGTCTTGTTGAAAAAATATACCACATGCAGACAAATAAAAAACACCTACACGAATCAGTGTGGGATATATCAAGTCGTTAATTAACGTTTTGGTTAATACCTTTGTATCAGTGAATCAATCCCATTTGAAAATATTTCATGGTATAAATTTTTAGTTAACCATGTTACGCTTAACTTTTCTTATACTTTATTTAGCACGACAATTATTGTAACTTATTCGTAAAAAATCAAAATTGGACGAAAATTCATGGATGCTTAATGAAGTTAAATTATTAATTTCAAACTACATCAGTTTCCCAACATTCTTTAATCAAGTCGTACGTCGAGGGAACCACCCAAAGGAATTTCCATTGATATCGTAATTCTAGAAAGTGCGACGGATTACGCAGTTACGTCGAATATTTTGCAATAAGCAATAACGTTTCTACAGCGCCAACTTCTTTTTTTTTTTTTTTTTTTTTTTTTTTTTTTTTTTTTTTTTTTTTTTTTTTTTTTCAACGCAAATATGTTATCGCTTTGTTATGACGTGCCTCGTACTGTACGTATGGGTACAGTGCCCGGCATGCGTAAACATGTGTACTACATTTGAATGAGCAAGTAAACGATATTTTACATAAAAACGTTTGAAGAAGCTTCTTTTGCTTACGTATTCATTGGGTATGATTTTTTATTCACACCATTTTTCAAGATGAACATGATGTTTGTACTTTTTCATGAGCAAAACATGTTTTCACAGAGAAATGGAACCTATAGGAGTATAAAAAATGATTCGAGACAAAAAAAACTTTTTTAAACACATGAATATCACTGAATAATGCTCGTATACGTACAACAGTAGGTATGCCAATAGATTGGGTATAACAACATTAACAATACACAATGATGATGAAATCGTACGTAACAAAAGAGGACACACCTGCCTGGTATACATGAATCGTGCACTATAATTTGTTAAATCAATGTTCTTCTCTTGCAAATTCATCTTTCAAAAACACAATGTAAATAAAAAAAAAAAAAAGGTATCAACTATTTTTAATCCCGGAGGAAAGGCAATTTGTACAACTTGTCATGGCTTTGCGTACCATTTCGCTCGAACATTGTGGTTATAATTATCCCATTACTCATTTTGCCGCGTGTGCGTGACCAGTCAACGGAAAGAGAGATCGGGGACTCGAAAACCCAGTGCCTCTGCGCTAACCGAGCCCTTCTCTCTCTCTCTCTACCAATCGACCCGCGCAAACGGCTAGACGCGACGCGATTAAACCAAGAAAACAAGTAACGAAAGCTCCCACACTCAGCGTTGAACTTACACTTGAGCGCGCACCCCTCCGCATCCACGGGCACTCCGAATTCACAGACCACGACGACGACTAGCACAGCGATGCATCCGTACTTGAATTTCATCTCTTGGCAGCGTCCAAGCTAGCAAAGGGCCGAAGACAAATTGAGCTCGCGCTTCGGACGCCTCGTTGACTGTCTGGGCTCTCCCGTATCGGCGGCCGGGGTTATCGTGCGCTTGACTTCGCAGCGATACCGCGACAACGTAATACGTACATGTGTATACACTTGGCGATGTTTTCACAAGCGGCTTTGGGGGTCTCTCGCGCTTTTTTTTTTTTTTTTTTATTTTAACACTATTTTTCCTCCCAAATTTTTTTATCACTTGCGAAAATTGCGCGCGTCGTCGGTCCGAACCAGACAGCTTCCTTTGTTTGGTCGGCGAGCGAATGCAGCGTCTTATCCGGCGGGCGATAGCGCGCACGTAACTGCGGCGAGTCCCCGATAAAAAATACGCACACCCGCTCGGTTTATTTATAGGAGTGAAATCTACCGACGAGCGCGCCAGTGTAATTCATCTTCGCTTACCGCGGAAACGGTGCTTCTAAAATAGTCCGCCACTTTTGTACGATTAATCGTATTTTTGACGACAAAGTTATTGGGGAGTTTGAAATGAATATCAAACGATCGGTTTGGCCCGCGAGTCTTGGACTTTGGAGTCAAAGGTGCGACGATAAAATTGGAGCAACGCGCAAAAATTTTTCTTAAATATTGTTTATTACGCAAATTAACGTACTCTGGTCAAATTTCAGATCATCGAAGCATTTTGTAAATCGCTAGAGCCCCACACATTGAAATAAGCAATTATCTTTTGATTGAATCCGATCCATATATTTTGAGATTTAAATGCAGTCGCGCGAGCGTTTTTTATTATGTCACTCAGCTTCTTTTTTATTGTTTTGATGAAATTTCCAAGGAGAATACATCGGTCATACTCGATAAACAATTTTCCAAAGTTTTATCAGTATTCTGCCAACAATCATTTCACGTATACGAATAACCACCGTAATTGCGGAGACGCGACGTGCGCAACGAGAAATTCCAAAAGCGCGAGCACACCCTCCACACGTGTACTCCAAGAAATACCTTTCGTAATAGAAAAGAGGCCCGAAAAAAAAAAAAAAAAAAAAAAGCTAGAGAAGAAAGATAGTTGAGTGCGAAAAGGGGGTATATACAGCCGCGCAGTAGCATCGGCATGTCGGAACAATAAATTTACATAGCGATGTAATCGGCCGGGAAACAAGTGGCCGAACAAGAGAAGATGCGCTATCGTGGGAGTAGGGGAGAGGACACCTCGTTGGTCACGCGCAATATGCGCCAGCCGTGCTAACGAGCCCTCGTGTGTATATATACGTATGGATATATACCCGTGCGGTGGCGGCAGGGAGAAGAGACCGCGGTTACGATGTCGCCCGCGGGCCGATTATCATCGGGGCGGCTTCCCCCTAGAACCGAGCTTCCGATGCCATGGTGCTGGTGGTGGTGGTGGATTTATCTCTCTGTTGCGCGAGGATTATTGAAATCATCTCGTTAGCGCGACTGTATGGACGGTCGGCGACGCCCCACACTCCCCAATCCGTGACATTTTCTTCGCGACCCCCGCATGAATAACAATTTTTTTTTTTTTTTTCAATGATTTCATTGTTATTTGTTTGACTTGAGATTACAAATACAACTCGCTTGGTTGTAAAATACTGTTCGCAAACCAATAACCAAATTTACTTTTTGTTTTTACATGAATAAAGTTAAGAACCATTTGCTCTCGTTCCCGATGGATTTGCCCAGATTTTCATTGCTTCAATATTGATACCAGGTACTATTTGATTAGGTTTCCATTTACAATACATGACATTTGGTGATTTCGTATTGATTACGATTTTCTGACCAGTTGTGTGTCATGCAAATGGCCATCGCGAAGTATATCATGCGAACGAGATAATTTCAATAAAGCTCTCCGGCCTCGTTTCTATTACATAATAATCCCCATTTTAAACCGACTTGAAATTACAAACGCGGAACAGCGCGCTTCGCTTATATATACAATTACAATCAATTTTCGAAAATTCAGAGTTCATCCCTCGCCCCACTTACACTCCCCTACCGATGTTTACGGCGAGTAATTACACTCGCTCTCGATGCAAAAGTCGAAAGAGGTAAGGGGGAAAAAAAAGGAAATTAAAGGCTGGCGCTTCGTTAAAATTACACGGGCAATTACACCCGGGCGCTCGGAGGCTATATGCGCCGAATTTTCAAAAATCCCGGGAGAAAGGACGCGCCGCGCGTTGTTCCTTTTCGAAACCGAAAGGGTGAGGACGGCCATTATTTTCCCGCTTGTGTGAGTACACGTTACACGGTGCACTTGGCGCAAACCGGTCCCTCGGCGATAAATTACCCATACGCTGAATATTCAGCTGTATACATATATATANGATACAGGATACCCTACGTTGTGTATACGCGTGGGCGATGTATGTGTGTGTGTGTGTGTGTGTGTCAACGCGTCGTCGTTAACATGTACGAGGCTTGCACTTACAATACACGTATATATGTATTGTAAAATCATGTGACGTGCGGAGTCTCTCTCTCTCTATATATATATATATAAGTGTATGGTTTATTAGTCCGCGTATACAAGAGCCCGGGATTTGCTCGCTTGTTGCGCAACATATACTCTCCTTATGGGAGCTTGGTAACAATTATTAGGCGGTATACGCGCATCGCTAATGTGCAGGGCACGCGTACGCGGAACAAAATCTATATCATACACTTACTCGCCGATTCTCGAACGAATCACGACGATTTTATTAGCTCAGCTGAGTTATATGCCGAATCAAAAAATGCGTTTCCCAAACGATGGGCTTGTAATGAAATTACACTTAATTATATACACGAATCAAAAGGTCGTCGATTATTCCGCATGGGCTGCGTCCGCGATGAATGAACAACAAGGGTCGCGCGCGCAAGTATTATCATCCCCCTTTTTAGTATAGTTGCATAATCCGCTGGGAAATTCTGCGGCTGTAGTGGTATGGGTGTACACTTGACTGCAGCCGAGACTCCGAGGGGGTAAATTCATGACGGTCAAAACATTACAGGTGTGTATATATATATATATATATATATATAGGCACTCACCTACAGTCTCACCCGAGAGGTGACCGTGGACACGTGTTTAGGTTCATCATCAATGTCGTCTACACCCCGAATCGCATCCACGCGCGTAATTTTATCATTCGATTCTAATTATTTCCCTCCAAAAACAGTTAAATAAATCCACCCTTTGATAAACCACCCATACCTCGCGTGTTTTCCCAAGCCCGGCACGAATAAGCGTCGTCCTCTGCTAAATTCACGCCGCGCCTCGATAGAACAGCGAACAATGATACACCCGCGCCGAGGCGGCGAGCGCATAGGGATACTATTTTTCTCCCCCCCCCCCCCCCGGACGCTCGAGATGCTATCTGTTTTATTATCGCGACCGGGAGAGAGATGCCGCGGATTCCGGTATCGCGGACACGTTTGTGCGCGGCACCGAGTGGCCGTGTTATCTCGGTACAAGGGAGTTGGTTGGGATAAAAGGGCAAGAGCGTATAATAGTTTTACGCGCTGTAGCTTTTATTATGCGTCTGCGGGTTTTTTTTTTTTTTTTTTTTTTTTTTTGTTCGGAGCTAGTCGGACCAACTAGGTCGGGTAAATTTGTTTGTGCCACACGATGATTCAATTGGTGTAGATGGTCAAACTATATTTGACCTGTTTTGTCAAATCGAAAAGCTTTTAACGGAAACAATATTGTTGCGCAAATGCTGTATCGAATGTAAAACATCGTGTCACAAATTTAACAATTTTGGAATAAAAGAATTTATTAACAGGGCATCTTAAAACCCGAGCTATTTTAACATACCTCGGTGTGTATACAGTGTAGGGTATATATGCGTGTATATGGTTATCTTTCGCTCGTCATGTAGTTCTTTTGCTATGAATAATATGCCCAGGAATTACTGTTGATGCCTCATCGTAAAGTTTTATTCGGAATATCACGTTGGTGAATAAATAACTCGCGCGAAAGTCCTTTTTGAAATTTATTTTACAGACCTTGCGCGCGTAAAGATTAAATTAGCCCGCGTTGAATGGAGATGTTGATTTTGCAGCTGTATCTACATCTGATGACGGGAAAGTATACAAATTAACGTTCGCTTTACGATTGGCGATGAAAATTTTTTCAACTCGACCGGCTGTTCTACACGACACATCAAACTTGGTGATTTCATCGAAACGCACTTGAATTTTTCCTCAACGGAATGAGCAAGCGTTCCACTTACATACGTAAGGATGTACATGGTATCAGGACCCAATTTTTATTTTTTCCATGCACCTGTTCAGTAAATAAAAAAAAAAAAAAAAAAAAAAAACAAAAAAAAAAAAAAAAAAAAAAAAAAAAAAAAAAAAAACAGGACAACAAAGAGCCTTCGCTCTCCTCTACTTTTTTTGTTCTTAACCCCTTTTGGCATTGGATAANGCGGAGCCAAGTTGCGATACAAACGGCTCTCATGCTTTTACTTTTTTTTTTTTTTCGCACTGTCTTACTTATTACATAAATCGATGGCACTTTGAGAAAAAAAAAAAAAAAAAAAAAAAAAAAAAAAAAAAAAACAAAAAAAAAAAATATCCGTCACCAATATCGATCCAAATCCCTACAGATTCCAGCCGATAATAATCGGGTGGAGCATGCATCTCTGGCTGAATTTATCGCTATCATCGAATCAGCCCGGCCTCACATCGAAACACATAATAGAAAATCTTGGACGTTCCCCTCGAATATGATCCCCATGAGCCGCCCTCCCTTCTCTTACATTCATACGCGTATACGATAAAGCTTCCTATTATGCAACACATAAATATCTATTTACAAGGTATAGGTGGGTAAAGGGAGGTGCAGTGTGCGAGTGTGTTTGCCTACAAATATTCGCTTACCCGCAGAGAAGAAGAAGAAGAAGAAGAAGGAAGGAGGTGGAAGAAGGTGGAATCCTCTCTCTGATGGCTGCAGCGGCGGCGGCGCGTTTTATATAACTTCGGGGGGCGATTTATCGGCGACTCAAACTCAACTATTTCCATGTCGCGCCGCCGGGGCTATATATATATATGGGTACAACACACCACAGGGGCGGGTGCATCAAGCGATACGACGACAAGCTCTTCTCCTTCCGAGGATGTACGTAGCTATATGTGTACCTTTTATTCTCTATAGATGTATAAATTTTACCTTGGTGCCCGTGCATGGCCGTCACATACCGACCCTTGACCCCCCTCTCATATATGTATACACACTTACCTTCTCTATTTTCTTCGTTTCTTTGTATCTACGTGTGCTCATGGTATAGGTATGGGGAAATGCACGTGCACTGACAGCCTCCCCCTCGTTCCGCTCTATACGCTTACTTTACTTTGGGAAAATATATTTGTATATTATATGTATAAGTGGGAAATAGTGTACGAAGAGAGTACTCCGCACAAATGGTATACTTATATACTTGCGCACTGGAGCTCTCTCGATACAGGTCAACCAGGAAATGGGATAAACCTTTTTTGAGAATTTTTATTAAAACAAAAAGAAAAAGGTTTTTTTTTTTTTTTTTTTTATCAGGAGCCTCTTGGTAAATTTACTTGCCCAAGTGATTTACAGATCGTTACGGTGAACTAATCGATAACGTATACCTTGAAAACCAAGGAAATGGTTTTCAAATCATTTGTTCACATCAAGTTCGCCGTTCCACATGTCAGATGAATCTACGCCGTGTGTTTTTTCGGGGGGTAGGCTGCCCCGTTTTTCCGATGAATTTTCTCGACTCGAGTGAGCGAGAAACAGGTATAGGGATACACAGGCACACACGTACACGGGTACTTACCCGTAACAGCTGTACCGCAACACTTTCGCGTGGCACCAAACCAAAATACCTTGCGAAACTCTGCGTTGGTATATTAAAGCACCGGCTGTGTGTTTTATACCGGGCGCACGTATATTTCAGATGCAAATGGCCCATACGCGCGAGACCGCGAGCGATCACGATCGCTCCCTTTCGTCAATCAAGTCAAGGCGAGACACGTATATACATACCTACTATCCTGCACAAATCTGTGTTTGGATATATATATATATATTTACACAGTGCTGCTCCCCGACGTATACCAATACGTATATTGTATGCTCCTTTCTCTCGCCTTTTTTTTTTTGGTCTACTTACATTTTCGTCTATTGCGAGTGCCATTTTTTTTCTAAGCGCATTTTTGCGCGCGCGTTTGATCGGTAAGCGTGCGAGTGCTATTTTTCACAACTGCGATCGGTAATTGTATGTATGAAAAAGAAGCAGTGTAAAAAATATGTACTACCGGTACAAGGAGTGATATCTTCAACATCATTAATATAAATAGTAAACGTAGAATAGAAGAAAAAAAACCTCACCCAAGAGAGCAAACGTCACCAAATTTCTCAAGATTTTTTCCACTTTTAATCCAGTACAGTCAAACACACACACACAACGCGCCCGGCATTTCGAAAAAGGCAACAAATCGTGCCCGGAGTTCTATAGCAGAAGTAAAGCACTAGCTGACGTTAGCTCACACTATATATAAAACACCAAAAAAGATGGATAAGCAACAGGTCGCGCAATCGGCACGCCGCGACGAAAACGGATCGCTTGCATCGCGCAAAGTGTGGTGTATACACCTACACAACACAGTCACACACGTACACTTGGGTATAGTAGGTGGTGTTTAATATTTGCCAGCATGCATCTACGTTGCAACGGAATTTCAAGCCTACCCTGCATACGTGTATATAAAAGTGTCATCAGGCGTTTTGTTGCTCAATTTGAAGAAATCGTTGTCACCTGAATGTTGTAAAGGATACATACCTGCTTGTGCTGTCACATGTTGCATAGCTTATGGGGTATGATTTACGAGCTTTAACAACTTGGTTTTTTTATGCTTTTGTATTTTATAAAGATAAATGTGACCAGCAAATGATGGAATGTTATAGCCGTAACGATTTTTTTTTTTTTTTTTTGAAATTATTCAAATTAATCTGAATTTTTTTCAAGTTACAAACTTTTGTATCCGACCCAGTTCCCATCATCTCTAAAAGAAAAATAATTGATTTGATGTGGGTTAGTTTTTTAAAAATAAATTACAATGATGGTGACGTTAATAAAATCGTGTTGTAAAACTATACGTCAACGAGGTTACCATGCAATGAGGTTGTGCAATAGTTTTATTGTAGGTGTCAGTCAGATATAAATTTTAGAAAAACTTCTTTAGAATGAAAATTATTTCACGTTGATGAATCACAGCATTCAAAAGACAATTATACGATGAAAATTTTATATATTAAATATAGTTTCTCTCGAATGTATCCATAATAGCTGATTGATTACTTTTATGGAACGAGTCGTGCTATTTTTGGCTTAAAGAAAATACAATTTTCATACGGAGCCGAAATTTCCCCTCAAGTCGAAATATCGTTGATGATTTATTTATGGACTCCTAATATTAATAACCACATTGAATTATCGATAAACTATAAATGTGCTTCGAAGTCAAGAACAGAGACTTCGAAAAGTAGCAAACATGTTGCTAAACAAAATATAAAAAACTGTAACGTGTATTCAGCGGGTGAATGCAAACACATGTGGATGAAAACGTACCAACCAACTTGAGATTTATGCGAAAACAGTTTAGTGAAAAAGAGGGGGGGCGGGGGATACAGCACAGGCGGTTTTGTATTAACTATTAAATGGGGGGGAAAAAAGGCGTTTGCCAAGTGAACGGCTTCAAACGGAGCCTTGGGAGCACCATCGTGGGGTCGGCTTTTATATATCCAGACGACGTGCCATTTCTTTACATCAAGAAGTAGCAGATTTATAAATCGATAACATCAAATAAGTCTGCACGTAGCTATACACCACACAACAACGAGAGCAGCAGCACATACGAAATATATCTGCGGAGCCAAGTTGCGATACAAACGGCTCTCATGCTTTTACTTTTTTTTTTTTTTCGCACTGTCTTACTTATTACATAAATCGATGGCACTTTGAGAAAAACTTTTTGTGCAATACATATACATCTTTTGAAATAATACCATGATTACGTTATTTTTATTCAGTACAAAAAAAAATTGGTAGTTGCTTAAATGAAGTTTCATTAAATTAAAATCACTCAAAAATTAGCGCAAACAGGCGTTTTAATTCAAAGTTGCGAGATGAATTTAAAAATTTATAAGCAAACCGTCTGTGCGTATGATAAAAATAAACGCGATCAAAATAGGTACTCGAGTGCGTTCAATAGTATTGGCCCAGATGGTTCTCGCGATCGATGAAGTGCTGTAAGATTTTTTGTATATATTTTATTTCCTTAACTTTTGAAAGTGAAAAATCAAGAGCCTAAAAAAAAGGTGCACTAACAATTTTTATTTATAAATAAGGAAATCATTCAATTATAAATTTTTTAACTCACTCAGGCCTTTTTTAATACGCTAAAATATTTTGAATGCCTCATTTTTGTGTAGCCAGTTACCTTTGGAAGACAATGCAAATTAAAAATAGCAAAAATTGCAGTTTTAAATAAGTTTGGGAATTTTTTATTTAATAAAAAAGAAAAATGGCATAGAAATAATTTTTTGTTTAAAATTTATCGAACNGTAGAATGTGAACGTTTTCAAATTTTAATGAAAAAATATAGATGCATATTTAACTTGCGTACATATAATATACACTCCATACGCATTTCAATTTAGGCGCTGCACAAAGTTGAGTCATGCACGGTTTATCTCTCTCACTCTTGAGCGTAGTACCTCGACTCATCCAGTAGATGGTTAAGTTGCCAGAAACGGCTTACCCGATAGTGATTTAACTTTCTACGCTTATAAAAGGTAGCGTATGGGTCGGTAATGTTAAGATCATACTTCACAGGATCATTTCTGTAGTATATCTTCACAGACTCTCTACCCAAAGTAGGAGTCGATGCAACCACGATGAGGAGGTGTAGCCCTCCTTCCTGAGCGTGAGGACGACTCGGACTCCCGACTTGCTCGGGAATCCAGTCATCGATGATCGTTCACCTTTTCTACTCCGTAGAGAAGGCCTGGAAGGAAGGGCAAGCTGAGTGGCTGCCAATGAAAATAAATTAACAATAATAATATTTCGATCACCAACGATTGCATCGTTTCACTGAGCAATCCTAATTATTCGAATCAAAGAAAATTTCTTTACCCTCATTCCATTACAATTTGGTATTAATCGAAACAAATTTAGTCGATCCAAAAGACATTTCGTAGTTTCGTACATCTAAATGAGAAACTCGTAATTAAAAAAAGAAAATTTTAATTTAATAAAATATTATTTTCAATCAACTTACTCATAAAAAAATATTTAACGGAATGAGGGTAAAGAAATTTTCTTTAATTCAAAGAATTGGGTTGCTCAGTGTACAAATCGTAATTATTACCTTCGACATTAAATTATATAATAGAGTCTACAAAACCAGACATCATTCTCTTCCTCAATCAATGAGTTTAAATAAAACTCTCATGTTAACAATATTATTATGTCCAATATTATTTACATTTATAATTTTTTGAAATTACGTTGTAAACAATTGAGACTAATGATCGATTATGTAGAACAATAAAAATAGTTTTTACACATTTTTAATTAATTAATTTGACTGCGATACCAAGTGTCGTGTTTTTAATTATTAAAACTGTGCACAATAAACGAAAAACATTTAAAATAAAAATCAAATGACACAACTCGAATACGCACTTATATATCCAACACATCTGTCAAGTCGCATAATAAGCATTCAACACAGCCGCGCATGCATCTTTCGACCTCAAACAATAAACTCGAGCTCATTAATAAACAAACGTAAGTACACGATATTCCGCGTGCCCAAACACATCCGTCAAAAATAAACGTCTCAGCCCTCCCGAACTTTATTTAAAAATTTTTATTCGTTTCAAAAACCAAGCCTCCTTTCCTTCTCACCATCACGTACGTATAAGAAAAGAATAAAGATTAAAAGAGAAATCGCAACAGCTGTAGGTATAGTGCTCTCGTGGCACATAAATAACTCGCTCAATTCACGGGCGATTGTATTGTATACGCGTATCCGCCCCCTCGCAATGCACTTGATTCCAAATACAATGTGCGCGAGATGTGCCACGGCACTATATATGCCGATAATCGGTGTATTTAACTTTTTTCTCGTATACCGCACTCTATAGGTACAATGTATTGTATATACAGGTACCTCTCGTTGGTATCATAGGTTTAAAGATTCCGAGGTGCCGATGGCTCGCGCATGGGGCGTTATCTCCGAGTGAGGAACTATTTCATCGGGTTTGCGTCTAATTTTGTTTGATTTAATTTATTCATCTTTTTTTTTTTCATTTCCATCGTTAATATATAGGTATACACGTAGCCCGATGTAACGGGTCGTCAATGTGTGTAATTATTAAAAAAAAATTTTTTTTTCTAATGTTGAACTTGAAATTTTTCATTTTTGTTCCTACAATACCTCGTGTTTTTTTTTTTTCCTTTTTTTTCAAGCCAAAAATTATTTTATTGTTAAGCACAATTTTATTTTCTTGAATGAAGTGCATTATTTTTGGTGAAAAATAAGTAGTAGCTTTCCTTTCATGGACTTTTATTTTAATCTTCGGACCGCCTTTAGTAGGAACTATGGGATTACCAAGGGTATATTATATACGTATATACAAGCAGAGCAGGTACAAGGGGTCCCTTGGGCATGATGTTTGCCCTGGTGCGAAAACTAAAATTCTGGCAGTTATAATATAAAATGTATTCCCGTAAATGTGCATATTATGTTAAAGTTTATTGTAAAGTATATGATTGAAATATCTTTTCAATACCGTGATTACTTTTTATTTTTTCACATTTTACTTCATTGTTTTTTTGAAAAAAAATTTCTTAAATTTAGCACTGTGTTGTAAGTGGTAATGGAAAAAAAAAAAAAAAAAAAATTTTAACACGACAAGGCATAGATGAGGCATTCCACTTTTAGACAAGAATTATATTTCAAAAAAAAAAAAAAAGTACGTTTTTGAGATGATACGTTTTTTTGAGACGTTTCTTTTACCTTTGAATGAAAAATATAGTTCGCACCTGGTGTGCATCCAACCGGGGCAAGCACAAGTCCTGTGAGGCACCACCAGATGCTTTGTCCACTTCGTGAAAAAAACTGGGCAACAGTACACCCCGATAGTTCCTCGAACATTTGTCCCCTATTTTCGTAAAAAATGTCCACGCACATGGGAATGAAAATTACGACCCTGCAAACGAACAAGTTTCACAAAACAGCTTAATATTTACACATATACGGACAGTACCCATCGTCCGTCATAATGAACATATACGAGCACCCGCAGAACAGCTCGTATATAATAGGCATTGATGTAAGGCCTCATATATGTACCTGCATTTGGCCACGACGTGCGGATTTACTGTATACGTACCTGCATTGAGATACACATCAGTACCTATGCATATATATATATATATATATACATTGAAAGAAAGAACGTGAGTCCGATACAGCNTTTCACGGGATTCAGCAATATATATATATATATGTTGTATACGAAAAGCCGTATAGTATACAATATATATTCCTTATAATGCGATGCACACGCACTCGAAAAACACGACGACGTCGCCACGCTCTTTCCTCCCGCTCCGAGTAGTCCTTCCTCTCTTTTCTCCATAATATAATCCACCTTTGGCTATCTTTTCCTTCGCCTCGGATGCCTGTATATTATATACCTACATGCCTACTCTTCGATATTGCATCTTACGCTCATGCGCAACGTGTGACTGAAGCTCGGAAGGGAGAGTATATAAATATATACACAGAGAGCACTGCCGCGGGAGAGTTGCATAATCCGCTGGGAAATTCTGCGGCTGTAGTGGTATGGGTGTACACTTGACTGCAGCCGAGACTCCGAGGGGGTAAATTCATGCCGGTCAAAACATTACAGGTGTGTATATATATATATATCTCTACTTCTTCCTCGGCGCGAGTATATTGTGGCTTTACCGGTATTTCTACTTTCCGCGCGTTTATGCGCGATGATAACACGCGGTGGCGAGGAGAGAGACAGGGTAACGGGGTCCCTGGTGTTTATTCCCGTGCACAGTGGGGGATCTTGAATCTTTACTTCAGAAAATCTTCGAATGGACGTGAGTCACGTATTATTATGATGTGGACTAGGAGGTTAACGCGAACCCACCCCAAGTGTATCGTTTGAGTGATAATAACCTATAGCTATAAGATTTGGGTTCAACAAGCAGATAACCACCACCGGGACATTTTTTGTTTATTTGCAAGCACTGTGTTTTATGTACAAAATTCAAAGGGAGCAAAGAATTTTGTTTCCCACGAATATGTGCTCCTTTCGTGAAAAAATTATGAGTAATGCTGCTTTTTTTTTTCTTCACGGCAATTTTGAGTTGGCGACTAAGTATACCGTGCAACCTTTTTTTCCGCCACGTTTTTCCATCCGACCCAATTTACGTGCGCACAGCTATTTTTTCATCACAGGGTGTATAATATATAATGTATACACCCACGTCCCAATCGCGTATACCGCGAAGATTAAATTCATAAACCACTCCGTTACAACAGAGTGAGCCTGAAAAAAAAAAAAAAACCTCTCGTCCCTCCTCCTCCGTATGTACACACAACGCGTATATAAGATCGGGGCTGTACTCGTAGCGAATAAACTCTTCCAAAGCATCCCGCCCCTCGTCCTAGCACACGCGCGTATACCTATATGGTATAAACATTACACTCCCGCGCTCAAGCCCCGATAATGCATATATGCGCGAGGCGAGGAGGTGTCGCGGCGCCGCTCTTTTTCCTCCCGGGAGGTTCAAGGTCGGCCGCGACCCGCGCGCATACCTCCTTTTCTCTCGGAAAAGCCCCTCCCCCCCCCCCCCCCCCCCCCCCCTTTTTTCCCCGGAAAACCCCCCCCCCCCCCCCCCCCCGACGAATAGATGCACGGCCGATAGGCAGTCGAGGGACCTTTTCTTCCTTCAAGCCGTAGGGGCCGGATCGTTAATCAAACAGTTTTAATTGAATATTTTTGCATACCCAGGAGAAAAGGGGCAAAGCGTACGCGTGTCTGTATGTACGTGCGCGCGAGAGCGCGTGTAATTGAGCGGTCGGACGCTGGGGTGCTCATTGTTTTTGCACTTTGCAATTATTATTATAATGGCGCTTTGTATACTGTCGCTGATGGAATGTGGGACGAATTTTGATGCACAACCTGTACCTATGTATGTATGTATATTTTGTTGGAAAAACATAACTGACGATTAATCAATTTTCATCTTTTGTGGTGGTTTTTTTTTTTTTTTTTTTTTTGTTTGTTTTCATTCTATTCCGCGCAAAAAGCTACACGTAATTAAAATACCGCGTGTGTATGTGAAAGCCGTCCACGCTAGGGGCTAATTAATCCGTTGAGCGTACCAATATTAGCCATTCCATAAATTACAGCCAAAGGACATTCGTTTGGTTAATGCATACACCGTTACACATGTTAAACTAAGGTGAGCGCGCGCGTGACCTCTCGAATTTTTCCCAAAGTTATGGTAAAAAGTTTGCGTATGCACAGTAAAGAGTGTCAAAGTCAAGGAATGTACAGGTACCATATATATACATGCATAGCGTGACAAAAAGACCAAAGAGAAAATCTATTATGTGTGCGTGTGCACCACGCAATTAATTAGTACACGTTGCACACCTCGTTAGCTATACGTTATAATATACTTGTATGTATATAGGTACACATCACGGATGGTCGAACAAATCTTACGCAGCGCGAGCACGTGCGGCTTTTTCCCACCCTATACCTGCTGATTCTATACACGTGTTCGCTGTATATATATATATGATACTAAAATGCGATACTTACGCGGTTACTTGCTTGTTTTTCCTTTTGAAAAGAAAGAAAGAAAGAAAGAAAGGAGAAATAGGAGCAAATTCCCAAATAAAAATGACAAAAATCCCCAACATTTCAACGACGATATAATTCATTTCGATCCCTCTTGCACGCATACACGCGGCGTGGGGGCTATTAATTTGT